AGAGAGAGAGAGAGAGAGAGAGAGAGAAATAAAAAGAGAGAGACACGAACCAACAGTTTGTCTGATATGGCAATAAAGAATAACAAGCTGCACCACGAATGTATAACTCTACGAAATATCTTCCTGTGTACAGGTGTGATGACTGACATATAGAGCCATGAATGTCATTAGCAGTTCTTTTAGATGATGTGACTTTTGTTTTATGTCCCACCTAGAATGGCAATCCTTCAAATGTTGCCCCCCTACAACAAAGTGCTCCGCCCCCGTACCCTCGGGGCACATACACTAGAATACAATGCAGATGTGCATAGAAGACTGATTCCAGTAAGCTTTGATGCATCGAGAACAGTAGGAGAGAGTAAACAAGCGGCACTGCACAAATGCTTCCCCTAATTATTAAAAGTGAGTGGATGGAAATACTCCACACAGGCCGACTTCTTGGCATTTCACACCATAGAGGATCTTAATTGTTAAGCCCATTTATACATCAAGATCAGCGAAAAAAATCAAGTATAAAACTTAAAGTGACACTAAACTCCGGAGTTAAATCTTAAAAATTTATTCAAGTAACTGAACTATTAACAAAAATGTATCTTATTTGTGTATCACTCGGCTATAGATCCTCCAATCATCTCTGAATTGGTGCTGACACTGTCCTTCCTTCTGGAGGGTGACTACTTTTGTTCCCCATGGTCCCTGTGTGTTTGTAAAGTAGTCACCGCTCCAAGCTCACTCCCGGGATGGACTACAATCTCATGTTTAGTTTACTGATTTGTATTGAGATTGTAGTCCATAACAGGAGCGCGCTTGGAGCGGTGACTACTTTACAACACACACAGGGACCATGGGGAACAGAAGTAGCCCCCCTCCAGAAGGAAGGACAGTGTCAGCACCAAGTCAGAGATGATTGGAGGATCTATAGCCGAGTGATACACAAATAAGACATTTTTGATAATTAAGGGACTTGAATGCATTTGTAAGATTTAGCTCCGGAGTTTACTGTCACTTTAAACTTTTATACTGTATCTGTATGAATTTTTGTGTTAGAAGCATCAGTATAGAAAAATGAACTCTGAATTTGTTTCTTGAAAGATGCAAATTCCAGGTCCATCATCACTGATCTTGTACAAGAAAGCAGCCGGTGAAATCCAAAGTCTCAGCTCTTGTTCTGAGTAACATCAATAATCATAGTGCCGCACAGCTCATCATTGCTACACCTGCTGTAGTGGAGTGGAGAGTGGTATGCAGAGATTTCCAAAAATCGGCTTCTTTATTGATCCATAAAATCAATGGCACAGAAGATGAAGAGTCTTCTATTATGTTTCATGCACACAAGCACTTACTCATAGAAGACCTTAAAGGAGAACTATGAGGTGAGTGATTTCCACTCACCTCATAGTTCTAGCCGACCTGTGACAATGAGACTGTCACAGGTCGGCTCAGTAGATCGGGAGGTGAGCGAAAACATAACGGCGTTCGCTCACCTCTCGATCCTGTCACGGCTCTCTGCCGTGACAGGGAAGGGGCTGGATTCCCCCCTCCCCGCTCCGATCTGCCAGCGCTGACTGGCGGAACGGACGGGGGAGGGGGCGGGTACAGCTGGCTCTGCCTCTAGATAGGCAGAGCCAGCTGCCACTCACACAGCTGGGCGGATCGCGTCATCTACGTCGCGATCCGCTCCGGCTGCGGCGTCTCAGTATACCGTGAGCTGTAGCTCTCTATATACTGAGATTAGGGTAACGGGAGGACGCTAGTTTGTGTCCTCCCATTACCCTGAGAACTATGGGGAAAAACACTGACCCCATAGTTCTCCTTTAAGTTATTTCCCACAACACAATTTAACCCTACCCGCTCAATGGGGGATTGCATTGATTAAGCTGTCAATCAGGAGACATCGGCATCTATTTATAAACCATGTGCCCTGAGAATATCTGCAGACATTAATTTTGTGCTTAGAATGACAAACAAATGTCCTTCATATTTTTTCAGTTCTGCTATATTGTGATGTAATACTGCATTGTGGCCTCTAGATGGAGCGGAAGAGCACATTAGTTTCCTATGCTCCTCAGCTCCATCTAGTGGCCATATTGCAGTATGACATCAATACATTCGACCTGCAAAAGAAACTTTCAAGAATGTTCATTTTTGCTATTCAGATATTTATAAATAGACCCCTAGTCTCTTAATGCAAACAGTTAAAAGCAAGAGTTACACACTGGTTTAAACATTCCAATCAGGGATTACATTCTATCAAATATTTCTCGCAACCAGCATATGGGGTTATGGGAGCGGTCCTGGATGATATTAATGAAGACCTAATATTTATCAGTACTGAAGCACTGTTAGATAGTTCTGCATTCTTATCCTACGATAATGACATTCAACTTCTATTATACTGCTTGTAATGAGAAGGCAGCAATATATCTTCTTTGATGTCAGGCAAAGCGGAGTTTTAACTTGACAGAAAACCAGTTTCAGGTCATTTATTATTACAGGCACAGGAGCATGACCAGCTCCCTTCAGATGTGCCCCAGCTTTTACTTTGAGATGCAAGGGCAGTCAGTAACCGCATACGGGGGTGGGACACAGAGTGGGAGGAATACGTCTACAATAGGGGTTGCCACTGCCTCCAAGAAAGGGACAAAGTCCTGACGTAGTAAGGGTGGGAGATGGTCTTGTAAACATTTTTGTGCTTCCTGTCCCTTGAAGGAGGAGGTCCAGGAGGAGCAATCTCTCAGGCAGGTTCACCATGAAGCGGGAACAATATTTCGACAGACAAAATGATTGGCTACTAAATGTGACTGAGGTCTCATTGCCCATTGGTCGCTACCCAAGTGACTGTTGATCCATTACATCAGCATACCCTATGAATGTATTTTCAATAATCCTTGTGCAGTTTTAGCCCGGCTCTAGCCAGCATCTTAAGCCCTGAGGCAGTTCTTTGCGCCCCAACATGTTACATTCTTTTCAATACAATATAATTTACCTTACCCCTTTAAGATGCTGGCCAGAGATGGGCTATTAAACCCTCATTTGTTTTTGCATATATCGATCTATCTGTTGCAAGCCAGCAGTGGATATATGCAAAAACACTAAAAAAAAAAACCTTTTCAAGACGGGTTAATACTTACCTGTGTCTCTGCCGCGTGCTCCCGTCCAAACATCTGAAGAGTCTCAGGCGGCCGCAAAGGATCTTGGAGCATGCGCAATTCAGATGTTCGGCCGGGAGACAAGGAGAGACACAAGGTAAGTCTATGGAACAGCGTGCACCCGCACAGACTCCGTGGGACATCAGAGAAGAGGACAGGGGAGTCAGCGCTGGATCGGAGACCCGCACCCAGCGCTGGAGGGACAGCTGAAAAGGACAGGAAAGAAGATCGAATTAAGAGACATCATTTAAGGCCTTGGTTCTCAACTGGTAGGTCGTGACCCCATGTTTAGTGGGTTGCCGCATGGCTTCCACTTTTCTAGGTGAGAGGCTCCTCAACCTCTCCCTAGCCTTCCCCTAGTGCAGCACTGTTCCCTCTCACACCCAGCAGCTATTCAAAATATGCTGAAGTGTTCACTTGAGGTGGGGTGGGCTAGGGGTATGGCAGCGAGGGAGCTCCATCCATATGTGCATTGCTTATAGCTCCCTTGCATGACCTGCAGAGGTACCTGGACCGGAGTGACATCACATTCTGGCTCCCGGCACGTCAACAGGTGCACATGGGAGATGTACAAGCGATGCACATATGGATGGAGCTCCATCACAGCACAGCAGCCCGCACTGCTCTGCGTTCCATTGCAGTGCGACTTAGGTCACAACTTAACGGCCGAGGACAATGTGGGTCCTGAGGTTACACAGGTTGAGAACCACTGATTAAACCCTGAGGATGGGGGAGTTCTTAACACCCCATAACAAGTTCTATTCAAGTACAATAATATTATTTACTGGATTGATAATACTTCAGTGGCACTCTCCTTTTTCTTCTACATCTCAATAGGTCAGGGGCCATGCAAGAGAACGGTCATCAAAACTGTGCATTGGCTAAAAAAATACCATCCCTAAAACAGCCACAGGTCACAAAGCGTGATCCCCACAGATTTATCTCACCGCTTCCAGAACAGGAAAACAGGAAAATACAGCTTCAAAAACTTCGGACTAACATTTTTATTACGTTTTGACATTCCAAACAAAAATAACGTTTAACATTAAACATTGCGGATTCAATTCGTCTTTTTTTTTTCTCCATAAAAATATCTCCAAAATATAAATATCTGACAATTTATATTAAAGTTCTGGGAGGTTTTATGCCGACCTGAAATTGAGCTCTTTAAGAAGTACAAAAAACACAGAAACTATTATTGCGCAGTTCTTAATGCCCGCGGGGGATTAACAAGATTATTGCAACAACTATGCTGGATCCTTACGCACTCCAGAAATCCGTTAACCTTTTAGGGATTCATTCAAGAACAATGTGAAAAAGAACTTGGCTACGGGGAAAGCAGCGATTTTGTGACTCGATGTAAAGCTAAAAGCGTCATGTGGGGGGGGGGGCATCTAGGTGTACTAGGAGGGGGGCAACTAAGAAAAATGAGGGTGGGGGCAACTAGGAGTAAATTTTACAACCAGACATTTTTCATTCCTTAATAGCATCAGTAACCAGCATCTGTGATCATCTGAATCTCAAACTCTAGGTTACAGCACCACAACTTTGTCTTACAGGGACTACTGTTTGTCTCGTTATTCGCTTGTATTCTCACCCTCTCTGAGCAGAA